CCAGTAAATTTAGTATTCTAGTTGAATTAGATAAATTCCTTTAAAGATGCAAATTAACAAAACACACAGAAAAAACAGAAAGTCTCAATAGCCTATATCTATTACAGAAATTGAATTCATAATTAAAAACCTTCACACAAAGAAAACACCAGCCCACATGGCCTCATTGGTGAATTCTATCAAACATGTTAGGAAGAAATAACATCAATGCTATATGCATTCTTTCAGAAAACAGAGAAGGGAATATTTTCCATGTCGTCATATGAGTCCAACATTACCCTGACACTAAAACCTGTCAAAGACACTTTATGAAAAGAACACTATAAACCAATGTCCTTTATAAATGTATATGCAAAAATCCTTAATACTGTATAGCAAATCAAATCCAGCAGTATATAAAATGGATGATAAATCATGATCAAATAGGATTTACTCCAGGAAAGCAAAATAAAATATTCATGATATACACAGTTGTCAAGGGAATTGTATCCAGAATATATAAAGTATTCTTACAATTTAGTAAAAAGAAGACAACTCAGTTTTTAAAATGGGCAAAAGATTTGAACAGACACTTCAAAAAAGGAGATATATGCACTTAAAAAGATGTTCAGTATCACTAGTCATCAAGAAAACGCAAATTAAAACCACAACAGGATACTACTGTATACCTACTAGAATGACTAAAATTATGAGACTGACCCTATCAAGTGCTGATTAGAGTGTGGACCAACTGAAATCTTATACATTGCTGGTGTCCCTGTAAAAAGGTACGTCCACTTTGGAAACATTCTGGCAGTTTCTTACAAAGTTAAACATATGCTTTCCATGTGACCCAGGCTTACTACTTCTAGGTGTTTACCCAAGAGGAATGAAGACATATGTTCACACAAAGATTTCCACACAAATGTTCATAGCAACTGCAATCATTCAACCCCAAACTAGAAGCAATCAAATTCCTATCAATGAGTGAATGGAAAAACACATCAATGTGTATCTATATAATGGAATACTACTCAGCAATGAAAAAGAACAACTAGTGATACACATAATATGGATAAATCTCAGAAACATTATGTTGACCTTCAAGTCCTGGAATGTCCTTTTATAGATTTTCCTTTCTTTCCCTTCTTGATGCCATCATGCTAGTCTGGAGCCTCAGCACTTTAGGTCTAGGTTAATCCAATGGCCGCTCTATCTGCCTCCAGCCTCTCCATCTTCAACTGCACTCCTTTACTGTCAGAATAATCTTCACAGAACACTACTTCTTTATGTCATAGTGAAAACCAAACAAAAATGTAGAACAATCAGTATCATCTTAACATTTAGTACAGTTCTTGTAATGCCCCAGCCTCCAGAAGGATACCTTCTAAAATTTCTTGCCAGACCAACACAATAACTGTACCTCATATTAGTGACTCTGTGTGTGCATAAAAGTCTTCTGACTTGTTCTGATATCCTACTCAATGAATTGCCCTTGAGACTCTTATCTTAGAACTACATGGTCAAGAATGTAACATAGATCAGCTCTCCCTCCAGACTTTTCTCCCTTGTTCAGATGCACTTCTAGTTATCCAAGCTTGAAACAATGGACTCAGTATGAACTCATATTTCTCCTCTATCCCCCATATGCAGTCAGTTAATTTTCCTGTGTTAATCCTTAGGCATTTCCTTTATAGGGCCCTGGTCACTACCACAAGTTAGGCCTGCATCTTTCCACAACAGATTTACTGCAATAATATTCAAATAGTGTCCTTTGCCTCTAGACTTACAAGTAGGGTATTTGAGCTTCAGCTATGGTGATGCCATTTGTTGAGACCTACTATGATCTAGGTATTTGTATATATTATTCTCATAAAAACTCTGCAAGGTAAATGAAAAAACAAGTTCATTGAGTACTTTGTGCAAGATTGTATAGCGTAAGGGACAGGGCCCAGCAGGAGTAAAACCTAGGCTGAAATGGCCCAATTATAGATGAGAAAAGATAAGAAGTGAGATTTAAAAAGTTCTACATTTCTCTGGGAAGAAAAGGGTGAGAAATGGCACTTGAGATAACAGGTGAGTGCTTTAGATAGGGACTTTCATTCTACTTATATATATTTTTTCTTCCAGGTTATTCTAATTGTATGCCATTATTTTAAGTACAATAATCGTCCTGGATAAAAGTTCTGTTTGATATTTTTTATAAAATAACTCTGATTTTAAAAGATTTTTGAGTGGCTATTAGGATACATTCAAGGACTTGAGATTATTTGTGCATTTCGTCTGCCTGACATACACACTGACAGACATCCAGCAGGCTCAATAAGTGTTGACTGGCTGAATGAAAGAAAAATAATTAACACTTTGAACTTTTACAATATTTAATGCAGTCATTGAACAACCCCATAAAATAGGGTCCATTATCATCTCCGCTTTACAAATGAGGAAACCAAGACGAATAACTTGCCCAAGTTCATACAGTCTGTTATTGGTGGGCCTTGGATTAGAAGCAGAGATTAAAGCAACTCACTCTCAAGCCCTCGCACTAAATCACAGAGGTATCCTGCTTCTCGGCTAATGGGAGTTACTTTTAGGGTCACTCAGGTCTTTAGTAGAATAGTATCCATCTTGATGCCTCAAAATTTAAGATGTAGGGCAAAGGTCCTTACCCTTGGATCTTTGGACCTATGGTCCATCCATAGGCCCTAGGAGCCCATGAATCTCATGAAATTTGATGAGATTTTGTGTGTATGCATAAATGCATTTTTCCTTTGGGGCAAAGGCTCATAGCTCTCATGAGTTTCTCAAAGGATTTTGTGATAACTAAAAGATTAATAGCTCATGGATGTAGAGAAATTTGGGGTTTTCTTGAGACACAATTAAAATTATTGAATACTCAAAAATACTTATAGGTGGATTGGTTTGAAGAATTGTCCACAGACTACCTTTTATCTCCGCAAAGGCGATTTTGGTTAAGGGGCTAGGAATTAATGTTTATTAGGCACAACTAAATGCCAGGCACTTAACATTTAACTAGCTTATCTTAACTGTTGTATCATTACCAGGAAGATATTATTTTACAAATGTAGAAACCGAGGCTTAGAGAGGTAAGAAACATGCCTGATAACACACTGATAAGTGGTAGCTCTAGATTCAGACATGACTCTGAAGCCAGTACTGCCTCACCATGTGGTTAGACACAGCCGCTAAGTGCCAAGGGCATTCAGTGCAACTATGCTGGGAGGCAGGTCTTTTAGTGATTTTCATGCAACCCTGCCTAGAAATAGAGGCTGAGTTATATGGCATCTTAAGGCCATTTTGAAGGACAAGCATTCAGTCCTGCTTTAAGATCATGTCTCATGTGCTGCTTCACCTCTTGTCTTTACATCTCTGCATTCTGTTCTCTGGGACTCCCTTTTAGGCAAGCCTGTCACAGCAGCAGTAAGAGTGGTTTAGCTCCTCAAGTGCAGGGTCTCTGAACCATTGCCCTGGCTAACATGTTATAGCACAATTCAGGCTTCTGATGGCCACAGGCCTAGTCTTCCCATCTCCATTGTCCATTTGAACAAACTTGAACAGCCTTCCTCCTACTGCAGCTGCAATCTAGTTTGCAACACCGTTGAAACAGAAAACAGGAACTGGAGTGGTTTGTTTCCTTCTGCAGCTGCACAACGTACTTCTCCTTGACTAGTGACTCCTATTTCACCACCTAGCTTGCCTGAAAATCTCCCTACGCCAAGCCAATTGTTTGTCAAGCATAAATAATCACAGACAGGGCCTTTGAGATCTCTTGAAAGCTTTTCTAGGCTCATAGAGAAGCCTATACCACCTGCAGAGGAGGGTTTTTAGAGAAGGAGGTAGGGCCACTCTCTAATGGACTCTTGTATGAGCTGGGGCAGGGGGGAGGGGCATGTAGCAGAAGGAATTAGTGAGGATTTACTTAAGTAGAAAATAATTCCATATAACACTGAGGAAAACTGATAAACTAGAAAGCTCATACTTCACACTTCAAATGGATACTTTGCTTTACAAAAGATAAAGCCAGTTTTCTTTAAATTGTGAATTATCTCTTCTAGTACATCCTAAATGATTCCGTTGTTTTCCTAAAAGGAAAGAAAGCTTTCTATACAAAATTTCCAAAACCTATTCATATCTGATTTCATTGTCACAAATGTATATGGATTGCACTAGTTTCCAAGGGTTACCATAACAAAGTACTACAAATTGGGTGACTTAAAAAAACCAGGAATTTATTGGTTCACACTTCTGGAGGCTAGAAATCTGAACTCGAGCTTCTGGTAGTTTACTGACAAGCTTCAGCACTCAGGCCTGTAGCTGCTTCACTTCGGTCCTCTGTCTTCACGTGTCCTTCTCCCTGGGTATCTCGTCACATAGTCTTCCCCCTGTGCTTGTCTATGTTTGTGTCCAAATTATCCCCTTTTATTTTGTGTTAGGGCTCACCCTGATAACCTCATCTTAACTTGACTACAACTGTAAAGACCCCAGAAGGTCACATTCTGAGGTACAAAGGGTTAGGAATTCAACATACCTTTTTTGAGGGGAAATAATTCAACCCATAACATAAATAGTAATCATGAAAGTATGTGATATTTAAAATTACAATTATCTTAACAAGTGAGTCTGTGAGTTATTCTGAAATCATTAGCCTCTAGCCTTTCAAAATCCTTTTAGAGACTGGGATCTTATTCAGTGATCAAGTACGTTCCTCATTTAATTATTAGATTTATCTTAATTAGTTGTTTATCATTTCAGTGTTGTCTAAAGTATACATAGTAGAATAAAAAGCTTTGATATGACAAAGTATAATACATTTCTGGGGTGATCTAAGCCCTTGGATATGGCTGCTCACAATGGTATCTCTCTTATTCCTTAGTGTTCATCAATGTCTGTTTTTCTGCTCTTGTTCTGTGGGGTGTTTCCCTAGGCTTTTAGTCTAGTTTTGCTCTCATCCCACTTTAAACCTCATATCAAGTTTAGGGTCCATTTAATAGACATGAAGATCAAAGAGGGTATAATTTTATTTAATAAGCAAAGCTAACAACATAATCATGGACAAAAACTTCTGGAAAATTCATATCTCTATACATCTCCCGTGGTTGGGAGCACTCACAAAAAGGAACCATTACATCCCTCTTATCTGTACTTATAAACATCATACATTACCTATCTTTTATTTTCTAGACATTAAAATTTTAACCAAGACATAATTGTCAAGCATTGACAGTAGACATCCTAGTTACATTAGTGCACCAGTGACCATTGTGGTGGCTTAAATTTCTAGCAGCTTTTTTTTCTCCAGGAGTATTCTTTTCTCATTTAGAAAATAGAGTCCTATTTTTTTACATGACTGAAAATGCTTTACACTTGTTTACTTTAAATAAAGACATTTATTTGGAGATTAGTAGCATGATGAGTCAACCTCACCAGATATTAACAGTTCATCAGGTCAGGCAATAGAACAAGTTCGTCTGAGCTTCTTGTAAAGAAATGGATGACCACCTCAATAGCTGCCTCCATCTTCTGTTTTATTACTGGATGGCTCATAATCCAAAATATGAAGTTTTGGGACTTTTTCTCAAAAGTAGAAATAGGGGAAATGTCTGAAGCAATGATGTTGACTTTTTTTTTTAATTTATGAAACTTTAACTGCGTATTTCAGTCTTGTGGAATCTTTTGTGTTATTTTGACTGTCGATAAGAACCAGGGGACTATGTTGATGATTCTTGATAATTTCAGCAACACTTCCAAAGTACTAGAGCAAGAAAACAGATGAATTATACATTGGCATTTATGTTAACCTCGAGCTCCACTCCTCCCATCTTCTCCCACTTTCTCAGGTTAGTCAAAATTACTAGGTTCCAGCTGACATTCTAGCCAAAAAAGTCTAATTTAACAAAGGCTGTAACCTTCAAGGTGGTAGACCTTGGCTTCTCCTATATACAGTAAGACTAAAAGTACAACTGACAGCTCAATTCATGTAACTACTTAGAGAAATTTCTCCATTGAATTATGATGTAATATTTTAATATTTTGTTTTTTATTTAGTGTCAGTTATAAAACTGTTATACATTGAATTTCTCTACATTCTTTACAAAACATAGATTATCTGGTATGTTGCACAAGTCTTAGATACAAGGACTGATGGAAAAATTAACCTTAGAATTTCATGTGAGGACAGAGTTATTTCCCAGTTAATTCATGTTTGTTTTCATTTTCTTTTTTGAATAAATAAGGAAAACTTTATAAACCCTCACATTTCTATTTTTGCTTTGGCTCCCAGTAAGTTTAGAGCTAAATTGGTGCCTAATTAATAATGGAATTTCATGGTAGGCTCTTATCATACATATTTATTTTTCCACATATTAATTTCTATTGTCTATGGGTTTTAATTTAAGGTTATCACAATTTTTTTCTGAAAAAATGATCAATGTTTAAAATGAAAGATAAAATAAATCTAACACAGACCATGAAATAAAATGCATAGATTACACAAAAGTGTTACAGGCTCACAATCATTAAATAAATGCATCCAGAGTCATTTTTTAAAAAGTGGTAATTGTTTTGCAACAGTGCCATAAATTTAGCAATTATCACAAATTGATTTTTTTGTCTTTTAATTTTTCATATAAAGACAAACATCTGGAATAAAAATCTCTTTGTCTTTATTAATTATTTGGGTAGCTTCCAAATTTCTACGTATTGAATAAAGTAAAGTATTCAGAATACTGGTCAAGCTTTTAAAATGAAATACCACTCGTCTTTTAGATAATTGGCTATCTGAATATTAGGTCATGGAGGAGAGGTGAGACACAGGGACCTTCAAATACCTTTAGTCTTTACATCTTTCTTTCTCTTCAATCATTCAGCCCTCTTGCAATTGCCATTGAAGTTCTTTTATGATATAAAGACATTCATTCTGTTTGTTTGGCATAGCATGTTGCTAAACTGAATGCAGCTGGAAGTTAAATTGATGGACTAAAGAATCAGGAAATGAAATAGCGCAATCTCTTTGAAGTGGATTCCAAGTGAAAAAGTGTGCTTTGAACCCAGCAAACATAGGCAAGAGTTGCTATATTTATGCAAACAAACATCTCATTTTGTCCTTCTAGTCCCTGCATATTATTGAGTTTTGCTTTGTTGCAGTGCTTGAGGATTGAAATGTTTGAGGTAGGGAGTGGAGTTGAGGCATATTTGTGATTATTTTGGATGAAGAATTGGGCATAAGTTAGTTGCAGTTTCCCCTCAGTGCTCTTTTTTTCCCCCTCTACACTAATTCAGTATATTTGAGATATTCATACATGCACAGAAAAATAACTTGTTTTATACCTCAAAGTCTCATAGTCAATAAAATAAAGCAAACAGATGTGAAAGCTATAAAATTACTCAATACTATGTCTACATAATGCCAAAACAATTGCATAAAAGAGTTAAACAGTTAATCAATTGTTTATTTTTTCTACCCACTTACACGCAAACACAAATACAGACAAACAGACTTTTCAAAATATCCACATAATTGACATCATGTTACCAAAATTTTCATTTTCCATTAAAATATTCAGTATATGGGAGAAATAATCTTTCTATGATAGATAATTTAAGTAAGAGTTTTAATAGACTCTATTAGGACTTCCTGGTGCCATTATAATAATATACTACTTAATTTGGTATTCATAGGCTGCATATGTGGGGAGTGGGGTGAAGTTCTGATCTATTCATTCTGAGGTAGGGATGAAGATTCTTTAGGCCAAGAGGAATCCCTGTTTACCAGAGTTTCCTAGCAGGACAAAGAAGTCCAGAGGCCGTCTGAGAGCTCAAAATTTATATGAGAGAATTTCAGGACCTCTAAACGGGACAGCTCCCTCATCTACCCTTAAGCCTCTGATAGAAGTACTGGAGCCGTGAGGAGTCTTTAGAATGAAACCATCCATCCAAAGTCACTCTGTCCTACTGAGATCAGCACCATTTCCTACTACTGATTACTACTGAAGAGCATTATTTTAAAATGATTTGTCAGATAAAGGTTTCAGTGAGAATGAAGGTTTTTGTGAGGAGGGAAAAGCAGACAGTTCTGTTAAAGTTTAACTGATGTTAAATGATAATCAATCTATATTTTAAAACCCAAGTTTGGTCTTGATCAGTGTTTCAGGTTTTCATATTTAAGAGTTTTGCATTTTCTAACTATCTGAAACTTTATTAAAAGCAAAACAAAACCCCAAACTATAAAACTCCTAGAAGAAAACATAGGGGAAAAGCTTCATGAGATTATATTTGGCAATAATTTCTTGAATATGACACCAAAAGCACAGGCAACAAAAACAAAAATAAATAGGACTACATCAAACTTAAAAACTTTTGTTCATCTAAGGTCACAATCAATGGAGTGAAAAGGCAACCTATGGAATGGGGGAAAATGTTTGCAAATCATATATCTGATAAGGGGTTAATATCCAGAATATATAAAGGATTCCTACAGCTCACAACAAAAGATCAAATAACTTGATTTTAAAATGGGCAAAGGACTTGAATAGACATTTCTCCAAAGATAACATACAAATGGCCAACAAGCGTATGAAAAGATGCTCAACATCACTAATCCTCAGAGAAATGCAAATCAAAACCACAATGAGATATCACCTCTCACCCATTAGGATAGGTACTATTTAAAAAACCCAGAAAATAACAAGTGTTGGCAGGGATGTGGAAAAGTTGGAACACTTGTGCACTGTTGGTAGGGTTGTAAAATGATGCAATCACTATGGGAAACAATATGGTGGTTCCTCAAAAAATTAAAACTAGAACTACCATATGATCCAGCAATCCCACTTCTAGATATATATCCAGAAGAATTGAAAGCAGGACCTCAAAGAGATATTGTACACTCATGTTAATAGCAGCACTATTTACAATAGCCAAGAGGTAGAAGCAACCCAAACGTCCACCAATAGATGAATGGATAAACAGATTGTGGTATATAATACACTGGAATACTACACAGCCTCAAAAAGGAAAGAAATCCTGCCACATGCTACAATGTGGATGAACCTTGAGGATATATTGTGCGACATGAAATAAGCCAATCAAAAAACACAAACTTTGTATGATCCCGCTTATATGAAGCATCTATAGTTGTCAAATTCATAGAAAGCAGAATGGTGGTTGCCAACTGGGGGGAATGGACAAAGAGGAGTTATTGTTCAACGAGTATAGAGTTTCAGATATGCAAGATGAAAAACTTCTGGAGATCTGTTTCACAACATTGTAAATATACTTAACACTACTAAACTGTACACTTAAAATAGTTAATATGGTAAATTTTATGGTATGTGTTTTTTACCACAATTTTTTTAAAAAAGCAAAATAAAGAGCACACTCATTGACACACGATCTTATCAGTTTGTTTTACAAATGCTTCAATCAACAAATCAGTTCATTCATTTAATAAGTGCTTATCAAGCATCCACTGAAAGCAGCTATTGTGCTATGGTTCTGGAAATACAGAGATGAACAAGACATAGTCTAGGACCTGGCCTCATCTAGTGGAGAAGACAGACACTTCAGCAATTATGACACTTTTTAACAATTCAAACACTTTCTACCTAGTGCTGGGTCTGGAATGGATGTAGTTCTTTCTGAAGGAGTATTGAAAATAAGTATTTCTTAACTTGAACTTTTTAAATGCTATTTTCTCTGCTTAGAGTGTTCTTTTCACTTTTCTCCGTCTCATCTCCTCCAACCTTCATTCTACCTATTCAAATTCAATGCATCACTTAAGAACAGAATAAATATCACTCCCTTTCTGACCATTCATGGATTACTCCAGCCCATGTTTCAGGGCTCACTTATGTGAACAAGCTGGCTAAATGGAGATATGGTAAGCACTGAGTTTGGTACAGATTAAAAAGGAGTTTATATTCATGTTTGGTTAATATTCAAGACCTATTGTAATGCTTTTTTCTTGCTGCAGACCCAAAAGCTCATTTTGGTCCAAGGGCTATAGTCTAATTTTTCAACTCAAGTTTCTGCATCTCCTCTGATCCTTACCTGGTAATCTACCTTTGTACTTGAGCTGAGATCCTAGTTCTTAACTTAGGAGCTCTGAACACTGACCTTGATTCTTACAATATTAATTCTACTTGACGTTTCAACCTTGATTTCTATGTCCCCCTGGACTGAAACACTGAATCAGACTGATCCCCCTAAGTAACAGGATAAAAGGACTAAGATGTAGCCTTCACATCACGTGAGTCTTAAATCCTTTCTGTTCTCTCATAGAATATATGGCCTGAACATATTATTTTATCTTGTCCTCTATTTACGACATGTATGCAAGCCTTGTACCAAATATTCTTGCATCCTTTCTTCTCATCTCTAGCACCTAATACAATATGATGCCATTGTGCTCAATATAGAGTTATAGAATTGGATTAAAAGACAAATTACTGACCTCTTCACCATTTTTCTTCCTGCCCAAAGCATACTGTTTTGTTGCTTCAATAAATCGCACAGGGATATTATATACTCGCTTATTAAAGAATACAACTAGTGTATATGGCTGTTTGGAATCATGGCCAGAGCTTTTCCGAATAAGAAATGATCCATCCTGTTTATTAAAAGGAAAGCATAATTATGGTTACTAGTACTTATATTTCCACAGGTTAGAAATCAGTTTATGAAAAATATCTATATTATATTCAAAAGGTAATTATTTATTTATATGATTTTTTTTTATTAATTAGAGTTTGTTTTATTATTTTCCAAGAAAATACTTCAGTAAAATATATACTTATAGAAAATCCTGGGTGAGGTCAATGCTAGCTTTTGATGCAGTAAATAAGACATTATGTTTATGGGATTTAGAAACGTGTGAAAGGACACATTAAGATCAAACCTAGAGAGCACTCTTAAACCAGGAACTCTGTCCACAAGTTGCCTATGAATAAAAAAAGATCAAAACAAATGCCATTCAAAAGTATTATAAGAAGGAAGCAGAAATTGAGAATCAAAACATTTCAGCTCATAAAAATTTTCTCCCCAAAAACTCGAATAGGAGCAGAAAAAAACCCATAACACATTTTAAATTTAATTATATATTTTATAAAATATTCTAGAAGCATAAATTCAAAAATTAGGAACAAAAAAATGGACAAAAGCAGGAAGAAGAAATGCAACCAGAGTTTCAATCCAACTCAGGAGAGAAATTGAAGAGAAAGACAAACCTATCTCAGAAATGAAGAAGAAATCACAAGATGCCCAAGGGAAAACAGCCTCAAATGAAGACTAATAAATGACCAGAGGAAGGCATGGAACAACCAAGACAGAAAAAGAAAAAGATTAAAGCAAGAAGTACAATAGGGTCAGAGTGGGTGGAATGAAAGAAAGACCAAAAAGGTCCAAAACGCATGTAATTTGAGGCCTTGAAGAAGAAAAACAAAATGATGGAACATCCAAAATGATGGAGACTCTTTAAGACTAATTTAAGAAAATGTATTGGAAATAAGAGAAAACTTAAATGTACATGTTGAAAGGGCTTCCATCTATCTGAAAAAATTGACCTGGAAATCAACTCAGAGATATATTCTGGCAAAACAATAAGGCTTTAAAAACAAAAAGCCTATAGAGCCTTGAGATTAAAATATCAAATTATTTATAAGGGCAAGAAAATAACATTAGCATTAGACTCTCAAAAGCAGCAGAGAGAACAAGGCAATCCAGCAGAGCAACACTTTTAAAAACTCAAACCAAAGATTTTATATCCAGCCAAGATTTCCTCCAGGTATCAGGCTATGAAAAATAGTTTTGAATGTGCAAGAGCACAGGAAACAGTGAAAACACAGTCCTTCCTGAGAATCTACTACAAGGTGAGCTTCCTCAGACAAAAAGAGAGAACCGGGGAAGCCAGCAAAGGGCCTGATGGAGAACATTTAATATGTTTAATTGCAGAACTAGGACTAAAACAAGAGTGTCTAAACACAGTATATAAATTGGACTCTCCAAAAAATGTGTTTCCAGATACTTTTTGCCATCTTGACCTCAATCTTCTATCTCATGCATTGATCCAAAATAGCCTGTTACTTCTCACTCTTGGATGGATCTCATGAGGCACCAAGCCTTCTGGAGATCTCCCCCCGGAGCCTTCTTCTCTCCCACTGTCTGGAGAGCAGTGGAGCCTCTGGATCCCACAGAGATGAAAGGACAGGTGGAAATGAGATGGAGGAACAAAGAGGGAGATGCTTGAAAGAGAGGAGGGGATGGCAACTCCTCTTGACTAAGTAAAGATAAAAGATCCCTGCATTCATAATTGTTGCAACTATTTAATTGCACATTATCAGGATGACAACTGTGCCTAGTATAGTCTAAGGGCAGAATATGAGATTTTAAAATGGTCAAACCTTGTTTGATCTGTATAGTGCCTCTTCAGCAGACTTTCGATCACAGGCACCAGCATACCATGGCTTACAGTGAACGTCAGCTTCCTATGAAACAGCATTGTTAAGCATGAGATGGGCCTTCAATCACACCATACCTCCTGTGCATTAAAAACAAAGTCCCATTTTGCATTACCAAGACAGGCCTAATTACATTTGGACCAGTAGCTTGAAAATGAGTTTTATGCTTCCTTTGATCAATCACAGGATTATGTAGTTGACTTTTTTTCCCACTTGGCCTTAGCTGCTAATGTTAGTACTTGAACATAAGATCTAAATCCTGCTGGATTTCTGTACCATTTATTCCTTTCTCCTAAATAAGCTATAATGTCTCTTTCCATCATGATCTTATTGTTGCTGCCTTGTGGAGCACTTTATAGTTATCAAGGTGTTTTTACAAATATTATCTTATTTGATTCTTGTAACCACTTTGAAGGCAAGAAGGATACATGCTCTCATCCTTGAGAAAGCTTAGAGAGACTTGCCCAAGGGCACACAGAGCCCTTTTCCTTTTTTTAAACTGTGTTGTTCTAGGTGTTTTGATATCATGTGCTTCCACAGATCTATTCTGAGAAAATTACATAGTTTAAATAGAATCCATGTGAGAGAAAGAACAATAAAAACAGCACACTTCTTTGCTAGAAAAAACACGAATTGTTATTTAGGGCATCTGGAATACAAATTGGAATAAATGGAGCAAGGTCTTAATCATTGAAAATAAAAATGTACTCTGTACCCATCAGCAAATGACAACTCACAAGCTGACTTAAAATATAGTCTGTTCTCAAGCTTCACTCCAAACTCTCTCTTACAAGATGACATGCCCTTTTCTGCAGTTTACTGGTAACAATAAGAGTTCATTTCATACCTGTTCTGACAAATTAGAATTAGATGAAAAGCCAGGTAATGGGCCGTCCACGGTTGGACTTCCCCCTTCTGGAAATCCTGAAAGGGATTTGAAAAATCCATGGATCTTCATTAAATCTTGAGCAGTTACTATGCCTATACCTCAACATTGTGCTAGGTGCTCCAGGGGACACACACACTGAAAAATCATACACATAAAAAATCACACAGACACCAAAAGATCCTTAAGAGCAATGGTTCTCAGAGCTGGCCCTGTGGCATAGTGGTTAAGTTTGCACACGCTGTTTCAGTGGCCCAGGGTTCGCAGGTTCAAATCCTGGCGAGGACCTATGAACCGCTCATCAGGCCATGCTGTGGCAGTGTCCCACATACAAAATGGAGGAAGACTGCCACAGATGTTAGTTCAGTAACAATCTTCCTCAAGTGTAAAGAGGAAGATTGGTAACAGATGTTAGCTCACGGCCAATCTTCCTCACAAAAAGAAGAAGAAGAAGAAGAAGAAGAAGCAATGTTCCTGAAAGTGTGGGGTGAGGACCCCAGGAATACCCAAGATCCTTTCAGGATGTTTGCAAGGTCTTTTCCAAACGCATATCTTTGTGAAGCCCAATTTTCTTCATGTACTTCAACCAGAAAAACATATTGCAACAGATTGAATGTAGAAGCAGATATGAGAATCCAGCTGTCGCTGCTACTCCAGGCATTAAAGGGACTTAAAAAATGTAAAACAATACCACTCTCCCTATTAAATTGTTTTTGTTTGGGAAATAGCTATTTTTCATAAAAATATACTATTTATATCAACATGCAATGAGTTTAATATTTTAAAAGTAGATTAATAAATATGTTTTAAATGTCTGTTTTGATTAATACATTAAATATCAATAAAAAGAAACATGTAAACCAAAGTGCTTTTGGTCTGCAATAATTTTAGGAGTGTTAAAATGCTCCTGAGACCAAAATATTTGAGAATTGCTACCTTAAGGCATAAACTCCCTCAAGGAGTTTACAGTTTAATTATGAAGACACATGAAATAGAGAAACTACTTAACATTCATTAGTATTCATTCATTCATTCATTCATCATTGTGCGCCTTGCTGAGCATTGTGATCATTGGGAATATACAGCAGTCAACAAAACAGCAAAATTCCCTGCCCTCTTGGAGCTCAAATTTCAATGGAGTGAGAGAGGCAATGAAGACATAAGTCAATGCATATACACTGCTGCAGAGTCATGAGTGCTATGGAGAAAAATAAGCAGGAAAGTGGGTTGGGGATGGCCTTGGACAAGTAGTACAGGCCTCACTGAGGGGACACTTGGGTAAGATCTGCAGGTGGAGAGGGAGGAGGCATGTGGCTATCTCATGAAAGAATGTTCCAGGTACAGGGAACAGTAAATGCAAGAGCCTGGCATACCTGAGGAATGGAGAGGAGGCCACCCTGCCCAGAGTGCAATGAGAAAAGGAGGAGGAATAAGGGATAAAGCCAGACAGGAGGTCATGAAGGCACCTGATTTGTGACCTGGTGGACCCCTTAGCATGACTTGAGCTTTAACAAGCATGATACAGGAAGCTTTTGGAGAGAGTTTTGAACAGAGTAGTAATGTGATCTGCCTGTCTTTGAACAAGGTCACTCTTGGCTGCAAGGCTGGAAACAGATAGAAGGGGCAAGGGCAGAGAGAGGAGGGCAGTTTGCTCTTCTTGCAACTCCAGGAAGGAGATGATAGTGGCTTGGAACAGACGGCATCAGTGGAAGCAGTGAGAATGCTGAATTCCAGATATATTTTGAAGGAATATATTTAGCTGGAAGGCATGTGAAGAAAGCAAGTGAAGAGTCATGGGTGACTCTAAGGTTTTTAACCAGAGCAACCAGTTGTCCTTTATTAGGAGGGGAAGTCTGCAGGAGAGACAGGCTTAGATGAACTAAGTACTTCAGATGACAGAGCCTGGGTGTTCAAAGGAGAAAGCCACCGTTGTAACAGGAGGGACCAGTGAGGGCCTGGCAGCCCCAGCAAGGTTGGGTATGAGGGAAGGGATGGTACGCCCAGTGGGAACAGCAAAGGAGGGCGGGTGGTCAGGCTCTCCCACAGCACACGGTACAAGGTGGTTGGCGGTTTCTGCCGTTTGTGCAGCTGGGGGAATTCAAGGCTGACATTGTCTGATCCCTGAATATGTGCCAGTCCTATTCTGTTTTATTGAGCCACATCTTAGCGCATTTTGTCCTCACATTGGCCCTTTATGCGAGGAGCTATTTGACCCCATTTTACAGATGAGGTTTCCCTGACCACCTCATCTAAGATGGCAGCCCTCACTGCCTCCAGGATTCTCTGTGACCCCATCTCCGCCAACTTGCTTTGTTATTCTTTATAGCCCTTAAGCATTTACCTGACATTATATGACTTATCTATTGTTTATTTCTCCTGTCTCCTCCAGCAGAATAGAAGCTTCATAGGGCAGGGACTCTGTTTTATTCACTGCTGTATCCCCTGTCTAGAACAGCGCCTGGCACATGGCAGATGGTCAATAAATATTTGTCAACTGAAAGAATGACTTGGGTTGAAAAACAATAAAAGGTATAATAGAGGTTTCCATAAGGAAAAATAAAATTTCTATAGCCAAAGCATTTTCATTTTGTGTTTAGAATTTTAAATTAAAATTTGGAATTTGAAATTTTAGTAGAAAGCAAACCAAGGTTTGGGCAGTTATGTTCTGCAAGCCTGACTTCATATATTTTCAGGGTGATGTATTGTCTGCCCTGGGAAAATTATCCAGATATTTGCCAAATCTTCTTTTCAGGGTACCTTTTGTAGATGTATTTTATGATCATTAAAATGTATTTTAGATTTAATTTAAATAGCTTTCATCTATTGAAGACCTTCTGTGTACCAAGCACTATACTAGGTACTGCCCATATGTTGTTTTACTTACTCTTCTTATTGTGAAAACAGTTCTGTTGTTTTTGTAAAAATAAATAAATAAATAAGTAAAAGATGACCAGTAAAATATTCAATCAATAGTAAAAAAGAAAAAAGTAAAAGTTATCTCAAATCTATTAACTTTTCAAAACAACTCTATGGAATAAATATTCTTGGCCCCATTTTACAGATGAGGAAACAAGCCAGAGAGGATACTGAGATTCTCCAGCTGGAAGTGGCAGTGTTGTGTTAGATCCTGGATGGCTCAGACACGAAGATCTGACCTTAACCACTACCTGATACTGCTCTTCAGGACTTCATTGTACTTACTTGGCAGAGGTATGGGTTTTTGATGAATTTGTCTGAAAGGAAGAATTTCAGATTAATTAAAAGGCAAAGCACAAAATTAAGCTTGACTTTTTGTTTGCACTGAAGATGCTCTAAAGGAACATTACAAAGGAGTCAACACAAATGGTCAACAAAACATATCTAAAGATAGGAGGGGCACCAAAACCTTCAAGATAAGTAAATTGTTCCCTTGGGTTTTTGAAAGGAGTAGACTTGACTAAAGTGTTAGATTTTAGTTAAGCCTGATAATTAACCTGAGTATTAGGTTTCTGCGATTCTAAACAGTTCTTTTAAAGTTGTTACCTACTTAATACCTTTTTAAATTTAATTGCAAAGCAATGAAATATCAGATCTTTACCAAGCACTAGCAGCCTGTGTCACTGTGCAGTGTAACAATGCAGGCATCGAGGAAATTTAGTTTTAAAGGAAAGGATTCTTACTTCTGGGCAGGAGGAAACACAGGTGATGGCATATTTTCTTGTCTGTGACTAGACCCTCGGTGGCGTTCAGCAGGTATAGGTTTTTCTGCATTAAGAAAATTCTCATATTAGGATTAGAGTGAAACGTCTGTCCCCATGCCCAAACCCAGCAACATCAACTGAGACGAACCAGATTTGGTCAGATGTCTTCCCACAAACTTGTCTTTCACCAGGATGTAATCCATTTGTGCACCTGTCAGTCTGGGGATGTGTTTGTGCTATTAGGACCAGGACTCCTTCCCAGCAGCGTTACAGGCACACCCTGCCACCTCTGCAGTCACCCCTTGGCAATGTACATGGGGACTGAACCCTTGGGGTCTGGACCTTTAAGTGTGTGAGTACAGGTGGGAGTCAGAAAATGAACACATTTTAGCCACCCCTGCTTTCTATGTGGCTCCACACAGGTCTTACAACACCCCGGTGTATCTTCATTAGTCATAAGATGTGGTATAAATCATTTCTTACGGATAAGAGGTAAAATATCAGAGTTTGCAAATGATCTACTCTTTTTGAAAAATTAATTGAGCAAATTCAAGGGTATCTTTAGAATAATGTTGATCTCACTTGCATTTCACTGTGTTTTCCTGAGTGGGAGAGGAAGGGGTGGAGTTGTAACTGGTACACAGGGAAATGGGCATAACCTGAAATGTAAGAAATTTATGTTGAAGCCCGTAGTGAACTTTACTGCTGAACCATTGATAAATGTGATTATAAATTATTTTAATGCTTTATTCTCTCTCAAATTTGGTCTAGGGTGTGTTAAGATCTGGGTATGTCTATGAGTATGTCCGCCCGCAGGGAAGAAAGGTGCAGAACTATTGATCTCCCGTTACAGGAACCCAAAAGGAATAACAGCAGTAAGAACTCAAAGATTCAAACAGATAATAAGATAGACTTCAGGGTTTCTTGTGGTGTAGCGAAATTCAGAAGGCTTGAACCTCTGAAGATCGTGTTTCACATTTGTGGCAATTTACTTTGAGCCGCCATGTGAGGTGTTTTGTTCACGACTTTACGACTTGATAATTTCAGAAGGAAAGACAAGGAACACGCTAGGTACCCACAGCCTGATGAGCTTTGACCACACCTGCGTTGCCCCTGCCATGCTGGAGGCTTCCTTCCTAGGCCAGAAGAGGCCACTCATGGCTTTGGGTTTGGATGGCCATTGTCTCTGCTCTTGAACTAAGTCACAAAAGAGATGGCATGCCAAGCTCCTGCACTGGGAGCCCTTTGGGAATGAGGACACCCAAGCTGCACGGGGCATGCCATAAGCCCCTTCTCTGCTGGATTTCAGAGGCCCCCGAAGGCAGGATATTTGCACAGGCTTGTACTTACTTCCTGCAGAAGCTCACCCAAAGGCTCCACTATTACTCCCAGCTCCCTGCTCAACAGGCACGGAAGACTGTAGGGAATGGAAGGATAGCAGGGCAAAAGCATCAAAGGAAAGGCAGAAGAAAGCACGACAGCAGAAGGCAGTGATGGTTCAGAAATAGCCCAGGGGAAAAAGATGCGGGAAACAGATGTGAAAAACCCAGTGGAGCACTTAAAGCAGACAGGTGAGTCATAGTGCACATTCAGAAAAGGTAAGGACCATCCATCATCAGAGAAAGCAGAACACTTTATGTAGATGTGCCCATATTAACTCAGGAAACGGTGAGAAGAACACTAAGCTTGTAACACTGGGTACTTTCGTGTGGAATTAAGTGGGTGCAGGACTTTAACTTCTATATAGTGTTTTGAGTGCTAAGATTATGGATGATTCTTCCTTCTTTCTGTTTTTTTCCCTTGTATTTTTTCAAATACAAGTATTTTTTTAAATGGGAAAGTTCTAACAAAAAGTATATGTAAGGATTTTAGGTTATGATAAAACAAAAGAAGGAAGGCATTTGAAGATGTACTGAGAAGACAGACATTTGAACTCAGAAAACATTATTTTGAAAACGTAGCAAAAGAACTTGTTCAAATAAATAGATTTTTAAAAATTTCGTTACCTTCACTAAACTGTTAGTTCTAAGATACGTGAATGGCCCTAAATAAGTCTTCTCACCTATGTAAGGTCATGGCACTGTCTGGCAAGTCATATCTGTCTACAAACAGGCAGGTTTGGGGCGTGTAGACTGTAGCCTACCCCGAAGATGTTGCCCAGCAAGCTCAGGTTCCGACCAGCTCTGTGGCTCACTACTCACTGCAAAGCGCAGGCCGTTTTGTTTAGAAAATTGAGTTTCAATTTACAAAAGCCTTATAAATAACGAAAGAAATTTAGAAATGCAATTACATACAAATTCTTAATTAAAATAACTTTTAGAAGACATGCTCATCCTTCAAAATAACATAGACTTACCTTCACAAACACTCGAGGCATTCTGTTGAGAGGCAACTGGAGTCTATTAAAAAAAAAGCAAGAATATTTAATACTGTGGAATATGAAAAATGTGGAAATAAAAGCCAAAGCAATATTATTAAAATAAATATTTGGGGAGAGCATTTCTTTGACACATAGCTATTCCTTCAATCAGAAGAACAACAATTAAAAACACACAACCCCCAGCCCAACTTTGCATGAAGTGACAATGGACTGGAAGTGTGTCATGGAAGGTGCAGTGTCATCTTGGTGTGGGGACCTCCCTGCTGTCAACAGTGCCAGTGAATACCATGGCTCCCAGCAGCTGCCAGGTACCAGTGCTTGCACAGTGGGAATCTGGCATCTGATTCAGTCTTGGGCCCCTCCTTCTTGGTGTTTGCTAAGTGATTGTAAATGGCAGGCTACAGAGTAGGTACCGGGTCAAGGTGGGCTTTCTTGAATAGTGGGCTGGCCGAGGTTCCCAAAATTCTGGCCAGAATCTGAGTTTAGTCAGGCCTATGTGTGCCTGATATGCTATTGTCAGCCATTAGCTCCCTGGCCACAGAGTGGGAAGCAGACACAGGCGCTCCCATGGGGAAAACAGACGTCATGGGAGGCAGGGAGCCTGGCCGCCGCCTCTGATCTGCCACTGACACTCAGTGAAGCCGCCAGGGTCAAGGGAGGATGAACTCTTCCCATGCAGCATCTTCCTTGGCTAACTGAGGATTCCAAATTTCTCTTGGACTCCCCGGGCAGCAACTTTAGTTGCTAAGATTATGTTCACCTTAGCTGGAAGCATTGTCAACTTTAAATAAGTAGATAAGAATAAACATTGTGGGTTAAATGCAAAATTAACTTACTGTCTTCAGTGATGTAGCTGGCTTTTTCCTGAGAAATAAAAAGAGATCAACTTTGATAAAGTGGAGCTGACTACTTATCATTTTACTCTCAAATTTAAACTAGAATAATGAAAGTGATACAAGTGTGTAGGAAGACAATCCATGAAGGGCGGAGAGAGATGGAAGCAGGATTTAGTCATGATCCTCCTAGTCTCAGATAGGGTCCACTGACAGATGGCATAGGGGTTAACTGGGGATAAACAGGAGCGCCAGTTGCCAGGGAGTTGGGATAACTGAGCTCTTGTTCTAGTTCTGCTACTAATTACTCGATGACCTCAGGCCTTTTCCTCTGGGCCGTGAGGCCAGTCTGAGCTTTAGTTTCCTCATCTGTAAATGAGGGCCAGAATCAGTGTTTTCAAAGTGTGCATGCAGAGCTCTCCCCTCCCCCAACAGCACTGCTGTCTGGGGAGGGAGGGGGGAGATACGCGGGTGGCCATGCAGGTGAGTTTGCAGCCAGCATCTCCTCATGCCAACTGCCTCACTTCTTCCCGTGACTCTTCTCTACTGGACATCTGCCTAGGATTTCATTCCGAAGTGAGAAATTCAAGACCGGCACAAGTTTGAAAACCACTGTGATCTGTGGTCCTGAAGTTGCTTGCCTTGCCTGACATTCTGGTTTGTGTTAGTTCCAGTAGAGATTGGAATCTAATATTGCTAAGGTTTTATGCTTCTCTTCTGCATTTATTTTCAATGCTGTCTCTCTCTCTCTCACTTTGTTTTTGGCTGAGAGCTGAAAGTATGGGTGAGGAATACTAACAATTCCCGAGTGCCTCTAAGGTGCCAGGCACTGGATTAGGCTCCTTTTTTTTTTTTTTTTCAAAGATTTTATTTTTTCCTTTTTCTCCCCAAAGACCCCCAGTACGTAGTTGTATATTCTTCATTGTGGATCCTTCTAGTTGTGGCATGTGGGACGCTGCCTCAGCGTGGTCTGATGACCAGTGCCCTGTCTGCACCCAGGATTCGAACTACCAAAACACTGGGCCGCCTGCAGCGGAGTGCGCGAACTTAACCACTTGGCCACGGGGCCAGCCCCTGGATTAGGCTCTTTATATCTTATTTAAACCTCAAAGTGACCTTTTAAAATGAGTGTTATTCTCACATTTTAGAGATTGGGAAATGGAGGCTCAGAGAGGCTAGGTAACTTGCCCAAAGTGATAAAGCTGAGCCAAGAGAGACGTGTACAGAGTTTTGGTTAATAAACCCCTGAAATCACAAATTTCTTTGCTTTACACAGAGGCAGAATTAAGATTATAACCATGCAGGCCAGCTTTGGACATATTTAAATATGCTTTTAAAATAACCTGTTGAGCCAATATAAAATTGTGGGGTCACTGTTTGTAATATTAACACATTACAATGCTCACCTGACAGTTTACAAAGCCATTTTAAGTTCAATAGGAAAGAATGACTCATCTCCCTTTTGAAAGGAACCCGGGCAGTGTTGTTTGATTGAACACCACAGTGTATGCCGCATGGTGTACATGTTTGTTTACAGATCATTAACTACTTCAAAGAGAAGCTGAGGAGGAGAAAGTAAAGATGAAACCTGCTAGTGGGCCTCAAAATTACTCAGGTGCTGGAGCTTCTGTCTTACGGAACATTGTAAGTCAATGAACCTAAGATTTGACTAAAAAATTATGGGAGGAGAGAGTACCAGTTTTCGATTTCAACAGAGACACCCCTGGTCCAACTTGAAGCATGCCATGGGCGTGGAGGAGAGGAACAGGCAGTAGGGGTTCGTTTCCACACTCTTCAGGAACACGCCTATGGTAATGTGAGGTGTGCCTTTGTCTGAGCTTGGGCAGGTGTGCACTTCCAGAAAAGCTGTTTTCCCTCTTCCCCCCTGATTCTCGGATAAAACTCCTTTGTGAATTCCAGGCAGGCTCCGCTCACAGCAGTAGTGAGACCATCCACTCAAATCTCACAGCTGCTTCCCTGCAGCAGGTACTCACCCGGCCCTGGGCAGTGGGGATGGCGCAGCGGGCAGAGAAGATGACTTAGAGTCCCAGACCCCACTGTTTCGACCTGCACAAACAAATACACAGGTCAGTCTCCAAGTCCTGAACCTGGGGCTGATGGTCGCAGTGAGGCTGGCCTTTCCGGCAGGCTCAGAAATACATGCACACTTTTTGTTACTTTCAGTATCAGTTAAGCATATACAGTGAAGCTACTGGGGAAAACCTGTAGGCAAAGGGGATAAAACATTTTAAAAATGTCAGTTTATAAGCTCAGAACTAGAATGTGAATTAGGGACGCCATCTTAACATTTCTACATGACCTTCTTTTTTCCCCCCATGGGACAAGTCCAGAGCCCCTGACTGCGTGGGCTCAGTGAGAGTCCCACAGGGGTTCCTATGGGAGGGAGCCAAGAGCTCACACCTGCATCTGTATACACTGCACAAATGTGCACACCACAGGGCCTAGAGACAGAGAGGCACAGACCCGCCACTCCTGATACCCACACATAGACATTGCTCATTCATAACCACACGTGAATACAGTACATACACCAAACTTCACATTCGGAGGATACCCATTCATTCATCTCTGAGTTCTCAGGGCCTTTACCCATTGCAGAAATAAACAAATTGTGACAAGTGGCAAGCTACTGCCCAAATCTCATCTTCTGAAGTCACAGAAGGGACCCAGAGGGCCTTGTCCACTGCACCTAGTTTACTCTCCCCCTGCCAGAAGATACAAGCCAGAAAATCATTATGAGAAAGGAAGATGGAGAGAGGCAGAGAGAGGCAGAGCATCGCTGCTGGGATAGAGAGCAGACCCAGAGGTGAAGAGGCCAGAAGCTAAGCCAGCTCCCCTCAGCGTCTCCTAGCAGCCTCCTCTCAGGCCGAGGCTCGCCTGCCTGGACAGTACTGCTCAGTGAGACAACGGTTCTCTATTGAAATAAACAGAACTGAATAAAAATTTTATTAAGAACCTACTACATTTATAAGTCCATAATTCCTAAGGGACTTTTAGGAGATACTCTACAAATATAGAGGGGACCTGCCCTCAGTATGTATTGTTTTAGTTTGCAAGACAGAGCATACACAAGTAAACAATTAAGTAATAATCAATTACCAAGAATTGTTGAGAACCTAGTATGTGAAAAGCACACGGAGGCACTATGTTAGGGTGTGGAAGAGGTCAAGAAGTAGACATGGCCTCTGCCCTCCGGGAATTTCTAACAGGAGAAGACATGTGACCCCATGCCACCTCATCTGACAGAACCACCTATTCCAAACACAAAAATGACAAAAAGCCCTCAAAAGTATTAAAAATAGAGATGATAAAGTTCATTCTTATGCACTTTACTAGAGAGAGGCCTTCAGGCTTTCACTCAGAGCCCATCTACTCTTTCTCTACACACAATTATCACGTAGGGCTAATTTCCATAGGCAGTCATGAATGAGAGCAGTGGCCAAGCGTGGGTGGCAGGACTCCAGGCAGCAGCCTTCCCCTGCCCCCCGTGGAGGAATGCCCCCTCCCAGGTAGCTCCTACTTACATGTTACCTGGCCTAGATGTGACTTTTAAAAACATTTTGAGAAAGAGGCTACGTTTGGAACTTTTAACATTAACATTTCATGTGACAACAAACTGAAATGTCATGTGAAGATGTAGTATGAGTCCAACTGTGTTTCGTTAGCTAGTGTGTCAAACTGATATCCTTTGTCAAATTCTCAACACTTGAGGTTGACGCTGTTAAAATACCCTTGGCTACTCATAGATTTCGAGGAAGGGGGAAGAAAAACCCTTGTCTGAAAAATAAGGAAGTAGAAAGAAGGTCTAATTCAGAACTTCCCCCCAGGGGTTTTCCCTCTTCTCAAATGCCTAGAGCTCATTTGGCCTGGGTATGTTATCATTGTCATATCTACTGCCTGGCTTTTCTGCTAAGCTTCCCTTCCCTTCATATCTTCAGTCTGCCCACATCTTCCTTTCCCCATCTCTCCCCATAAATAACTTCTGCCATCAGAGAGGGAGGGGCACGCCTGCTCTCCTCTGTGGTGGTAGAGTATTAGCACTGTGGAAAATCTATGGTCTCGCATCAGGAAGACAGGGTTCTAGTTATTTCTCTGCTACCAGACTGGCTGGGTGACCTCTTAGGAGCCACCATGCCTCAGTTTCCCCCTCTGCGAAATGGGGACACCACCACCTACCTTACCTAACTCAGAGTTATTGTAGTAAGATAATAGGGTAACTTTGAAATGTAAAGAATTAGCCAAATATGAAGTAATATAGCTGGAAAGGGATTGAAAATATTTGAGGGTCAAAAACATTACGCTAAGTGGAAGGAGTCAGATGGAAAAGACTAGATATTGTATAACTCTATCTATATGAAATGTCCGGAAAAGGCAAATCTATAGCAACAGAAAGCAGATCAGCAGTTGCTTGGGGCGGGAGGTAGGAACAGCATTGACCACAAACGAGCATAAAGGCTCTTTTGGAGTTGGTGTGGGCTTGAAAATGTTCTAAAACTGGATTGTAGTGATGGTTACAGAACTCTGTAAATGTAATGATTTACCAAAAATATTGAACTATACATGTAAAATGAGTGAGTTTTATGAGATATAAATTATAACTCCTAAAGGGTGTCAGTAAATATGATTATTGCCATTTTTGTTTTGTTATCTTGTTGTCAACCACCACAGTATCTCTAGGTGCTGGGCACTGTGCCAGGTACCTTAAATGTGCCATCTCCAAGCCTCACCTAAAATCAAGTGAGCAAACAGAAGCTCAGAGAGGTTAAGTGGGAAGGCTGGGGTTGAAAACCAAGGCCACTTGAACCAGTGCCTCCTAATGTTCCTTCGGTGCATGACTTGGCATGTTAGATTCGCTTGCTGCTTCTCCCTTATGCGGGGAAAACTTAGTGAAACAGAGGGGTGCTTTTGTGGACACCCATGGGAGGATGGAAAATGACTCTTCTATTTCACAGGCCAGTGACCCTTTCTGCTGCTCTGGGCCTGATCTCAGACCCAGGGGTATGGCTGGGGTAGGACAACCTGTTACCCACCTCACCGCCAGGATCCTTGATTTCTGGCAAAGCCAAATTCTTGGCTAGAATACTCCAAGATATAAACTGGAAATGTGAGAGAGGGAGATGTGCTCAAAAGCACAATAATAAAAGAGAAAACTTAGATTTGTTTTAATTGTATTGAGCAAAAAATTATGTTAATGTTTGATTTAATAGCACAGGCTTTGCACAAAGCTGGTGCTTACCTGAGTTTCTCAACTGGGAAATCAATTTACCCTTATTTTGTCCTCTACCACATAGTATATTTATGCATCATTCTCTTTTCAGTTTTATGTACAATGTTGGTAAGTTTAGCATAACAATCTCAACGTTGACATTATAAAGCCCTTCTGATTCAACTCTATTTTAACTGTTATAGAAACCCTATTATCATTAGTGGGGCTTGCACACCTGCTGAAGCACCCCTTACTCTTAGGCACTGCACAAACCCTTAAAAAATAAGGAGATTTAATTTAACCAATCCAGAACAATTTGGGCTACTCTAGAGCAATTTGGGCTACAGGTAAAATTCAACTTGCATATTAGCAGGGAATTGTAAGTTCAAAATCCCTTGCCCTATTTTATGAAATAAGGAGATAGAATACTTTAAAATCCTATTTACGTAGAGGAAGTTCAGAAATACATGCCCTGTCTGCCCTCTTCTGACAAAAGCTACAAATCAGCCAGAGGTTGCACCACCTTCTTCTAAGTGCTCACTTAGAGATAAATCACAATGGGCTTCAGTCTTTCAGTTTGTCTAGACCAGTAGTTCTTAACTGGGAGTGATTTTGCCCCTTTCCCCTTGGGACATCTGGCAATATCTGCAGACATCTTTGCTTATCATTACTGGGGTAGGGGATTCTATTGGCATCTAGGGCGGAGGCCAGGGATGCTGCTAAACATCCTATGATGCACAGGACGGCCCTCACACAAAGAATTATCTAGCCCCAGGTGCCAATTGTGCTGATGTTGAGAAACCCTAATTTAGAGTAAACTTTATATGGAAAGAAAGAAACACAATTGTTTCCTAAGATCTGTACAGGGTGCTCTGACAGACTGGTCATGAATCAAGGCAGGTTAAACAAGGGATTCTGAATAATAACGATAATAAATACCAAAGAGCCATCATTTTATGAATATGATTCATATGTATTTACTCACTTAATTCTCACAATGCCCCTAGGTGTAGGTGCCATTTTCTCCTCCATTTTTCAGAGGAGGAAACTAAGAAACAGAGAGATTACTTAGCTTGTTAGAAGTCCAGCACCTAGTAAGTGTCAGAGCCAGGACCTGAACCCTCAGGCTTTGGAGTCTGTGCTAAGCCTTGCAACTGTTCTTCTCAGTGTGAAACACAAAGGAGAGAACAGAGTCCATCACTGCACCTAATTCACTATGTAATCCTCAGCGAGCACCTTATTAGCCATCAAAGAGCCAAAGCAACATTAACCAGAGGTGAGTGTCAAGGTGTGGTACTTTGACAGAAACTCCAACCTGAAACCTTAGCACTTTCATGATGCCTATCAGGGCACTATCTGACCCTTTAAAGGATAATAGATGGTTATTCAAAGACACAGGCAAGTAGTCTGATTATTCCTTTTATAAAAACCATCTCTGAAAATTCTACTGTTTGTATTCTCAGAAACTCACTCTAACTGTTCAGGTTTGTCCCTCCCAAATTATCTCACTTCCTCCCTCTTCCTGTACTTTCCCTCGTCTGTATCCAACAATCACATAACCAGGAAATTATTTTCTTGTTCAGATTTGGTTTCTTCATCAATGCCTCTAATATTAAAATATAGCTTTACTAGATTAATAGAAAACTAACAAATAATAAATCCAATGGGCTAATGCCCTCATGGTGGTGCCATGTGATTCCTTAAATATAGCCAGTTTTGGGGGACTCATTCACTCTCTCAACTAACTGACCCATCCACCATTTCAGCACCTACTCTGAACCAAGTCCTGCCTAGGCCCTGGAAACACAGCTGTGAGCAAGACATGGAGCTGAGAGTCTTA